TGACAATGAGCAAAGAGGACAAAAAAATTATTTAGATCGGGGATCTAATACAGTTATTTTCCATATTGTTACTAGTTTTATTGCTTTTAATATGACATCGCAAAATAAAATCCAACATATTAACTCATCTTGGATACATGATTCTCTCAATAGGTTACAATATGAAGAACTTTTCGATATCGACCCTCAAATGCAAGATGTTCTTGATAAAGAACTATATAGTTACCTCTCTGAAATTTTTAGTTTGTTGTTTAAAGAAAAATCATCCTTTACTAATACTATTGACTCACTTATACCATCTGCAGGAATTAACGCTACTAGTATGAAACAATGCTCTAGTTGCCATCAAAAGAATATCGAGAATCGGAAACAGATATGTCTAATATGTAAAACACGACTACCAACATTAGCGGACATCTAAAAAGCAGTCAATACTGAAGATGAAATCGTTGACCGCTTAACAATGCCATTTGTTTTTAAGCCTTATAACCTTAATAGTGAACCAAGTACTATGCCTACTTCCTGAATCAGTTTTACTCAATGACCAGCTGATCATGGAGTTAATGTTCCAGAGATCTATGTTTCCGATCTGATTAATATAAACCCTAACTCAATCATAAATGTCGAAAAAGTTCTCCTTCATATAGAAGAAATATCAGGTATCAAGGACAGGACTCGTAAATGGATAGCTGTAATCTGTGATGGTGTCCCATATCATCATGCTACCAAGTTAAAAGAAAAGTTTCCTTGGTTGATTCTTATACCAGGACAATTACATGAGGAGATGAATATGCTTTGAGCATATGTAGAATTAAATTAGTAAATTTTTTTTTACTAAAATAATATAATTTTTATTAATAAATTATTTTTTTTATTAATAATTAGAGAAATAGATTTAAAACAATTTGCAATGTGTCAAGGCTATCAGATAGAAAATCAACTTTCCTATTTTAAAAAGTGTATAGATCATCATAAGTCTTGAGATTCAATTTGTAATATATATCGCTAAGCGATGACTATGGAACTCATGTGACCATATGTAAAAACCCATCCGGATCCTTTAGTTGAAGGGTATTTTGCTTGGGCAAAAGAACAAGAAGATCCAATTTATCAAATAAAATATGAACAGATATTTGTTTATCTCCAAGCAATCATTAATTATCAGAAGGCCATAAGAACAAACAACCCTCTCCTAAAAAGTGCTGCTAAAAGAGCATTTTCTCCAGTTTGGTCTGCAAGATGTCATCCTATCTACTGACTAATAGAAGTTGCTGATGAAGTTCAATTGATGCGACTTTATCCGGAAGTACGCGAGATCATAGAAAAATATAATGTTATGTCTAGATCGGGAATTTGTGAACAGCATCAAGGGTTGAATGCAATCATGGAAGAAGTGAACAAAATGTTAAAAACTTTAATACCACCTGTTCTACAATATCACCATTGGAAGATTGCAGCTCGTAACTGCAAAAAATTCTTCAAGGCAAATTTTTTAACTAACAGTTTTTATATTTTTATATTATTTACTATATTCTTATAGTTTACAGAGTTTTAATATATTTTAGCTCAGAAACAACTTATTCAGGTCAATTAGATACAATGATTCTCCAACACCAGGGCTAAGAACTCATCCAGAATCAACTATGGAATGTCAAAGATTCTGAATTCATTTGAGACATCATGGATTTGTTAATTCAGTGAATACAAGAACTCTTTGCCAAAGCCTAGAAAACGAATATGAATTAAGCGAACAATTAAAAAATTTCACTCATTTAGCAAAACAAGCCTGATAAAATTATATTATTGAGACATTTATTAATAAAAATTCTTCTTTTTTATTTAGGCGAATTCCGATTACAAAAGAAGAAACAAATGCACAAAACAATGAAGAAAATATGATCAAAATAGAAATCTTATTAAAGATAGAAACTCTTCTTGAGTAACTGCCTGAAATCGCTCGGAAAAAGTATTCTGGATTTAAATCAAAGAAGCGAGGCGAATTATTAAGTATTTTACAAGAAATCAAATCCTTATTCAATTCGGACAGTGAATTTAATAATCAAGAAAGTTCATAATAAATCCACAAAATAAATTTATTATTTTTATTATAAATAATGTATAATTTTAAATAACAAAATATATTTTTAAATTTTTTGTATTATTAGTTTTCTTTTCGTTTTATTATACAGTTATAAGAATCTTCCATTTAACAATCTTGCTAAACCTTTACATATAAAATTTAAAAATATTCTTGTATTTGTATATATATGTAAGCAATTTTAAGTCTACTTTAAAGCTAAAATACAATACTGTCTGACTTTATTTGAATCTAAAACTACAACTCCGTTTGACTTTTTTTTTTGTTTTTAATATTATTATCCAATTAAGGTTTGTGAAACATCAAAAGAAAAATCTAGAATCATCTGATCAGTGTTCCTTACCTAATAAGGTACGATCGTCAATGATCTAAATTTGGTATATTCCCTGACTGTAGTAAAGTGTGTGTTGCTGGAAGTGTGAAATTTGTCGTTGAAGAAGCAAGTAAAGAAGAAATTGACCTGTCAGAAGTGACAAATTTTCATGTAACCTAGCAACAATATTAGTAAGAGACAGAGAAGTGGTGGCGGTAAACTTGAGAATTTTAAACGACAAGTGTAAAGTTTACATCTCTAAGAACAATGCATGGCTTGATAGAGATTTGAGATATATCAACGAAATTAAAAAACTCATAAAATTTATCTAAAGATGCTCCTATAACATTCGAACAGGCGATTGAAAGAGATGATGTGGCTGCTTTATGTTATAATGTATTGGAGTACTGTTCCGTTAAGTTAGGATGTAGATTGGATAAACTTAAGAGAGACATAAGTAATAATAAAGACAAACCATATATCAATTCTTTCCTAGAATTTGCTAAGGTTGATAATCTAAATGAGATGGATGAATACGACATATCCACAGTTTATTGCGAGTATTATAAAAAAAACAAAAATTATTCTACAATTCCGGAAAGAATCCTAGAACACATCAAAAAGGTGGGATCTTATACTAGATCTGTGATAGATATTGTAAATTGCGCACGTAAAGAAAAGTACAAAAACTCATTCTATTGTATAGATATGCATTTATTGGATCCTATTTTTGCCGACCAATCCATATTTTCATGGGATAATATTATAAAAAAATTTATTTGTATTCCAAAGGATCTTGAAGATTTCAAAAAGAAATGTTTAAAAATAATGAAACAAAGGATAGAATAAACCATATATATAGTACACAATCAGATTGTGAAAAAACTAATCACCTTTATTTACACGCAGAGTTAAATATATTAGCCAAAATAATAGACCAGAATAAGGGAAATAATGAATTTATAGCTGTATCTAAGAAGTGTTTCTACTTATGTAAATCATATATCGAATTTGTACGAACCCAAAAATATAAAATTGCTGTTTCTGAGACATATAAGAAATTGTATCACAGATGGAAGCTTCCAGAGGCTTTTAAGGAAGAATTCATGGAACATACTCTATTTAACCTCGATCAGATCATAGAATGCGGAATAGAACAAAATAGTAGTATCATTACTCAATCGGATAGTGAGGGAGGTAGTGCTGATTCTGATATTAAAATTATGTTGCTATAAAGTCAATGACTAAACGGGCTAAACTTAAATGAACTAATCAATGACTAAAATATTCAGCAATGTTTGGTTAGTTAACAATTTTTTACTGTGGGAATAAGGAAAAATTTTTATCAATGACATAAAAATTAGCATACAATACATTTAAAATGTTTTAAACAAAATCTTTATTTTATTCTCGTGAATGAATTAACATTCTCAGAGGTTGAGAATAATTGAATCCTTTTTCTTGCCTTCTCTTTTCCTTATACCCGAATCTATGAATTCATGATAACTTCACTATACTACCTTTTATATACTACCTTTTTTCGAATTACACAGTAATTTAGTTAAGGAACAAAAAGCGGAAATTAATTATTCTTTTTATAAATTTTTTTAAATATTAAAATTGAAACAATGAATTTTTACATCAAAATTTTATATTCAAAATAAAATGCTTTAAATATATTATCAGTTTTAATTTCATTTACTAAATGCTAAGAATATAAATTTTTTTATTAATAATCAAATTTTATTAAAATAAGTATTTAAAAAATCATTTTAAAATGATTTTAACTAAAAATAACACTTATCTAGACTTTTGTGTAATTACAAAGCCAATCAGCATCGACTTAATTACTGAACGGGCACATCAGGACAATTTGCATACTCCTTCACTTTGTTCAGACTAATTATTTATGATTCTTTAGAACCGAATAGAGAACTGGGTTTATAAATTTCTAGAATTACGTAATACAGTAACATGACAGATTATGACCCACACAATTGTTAAATCCTTATCAAATCAACATGTTAATCCCTAGTATACGACCATTGTGAGGAAAATCACGTGGCAGACAGAGAAACGTTCACATGACCAAAATTTAATCAATGCACAGAAATATATTTCGCTCAGGATAACAACCAGGCAAAGTACGTTTAATTTGTTTCACTAGTTTAAAATTTTTTATTCAGCTATATTTATACAGTATCTCTTATAAATCCGTATAATTAATTTAAAAAGATGGTAGAGGTAAGGAAAGGAAATACAAAAAAATGCTTGAACAAAATTCAAAAAACGTATTTTATGTAAAATGAACCAAATAATCACACCTTTCAGCCCGGAGGGAAAAACAATAATCTTAGACAATTTTTAACTGTTTTTGATTATCACTGTTTGGGATGCCTGGTGTTTTAGGACCTACGCTTATCCACCTTCAGGGAAAATGAAATTAAAAACACAAATAAATTATTTGATGAGAAATATGGAATGCTTAGCAGAAGCTTGATAACAATTCAACCGAATTAAAATTTGCAACCATCAACTGTAAATATAACATACTAAGAGAGACTTTAAAACAAAAAGGAATAGTGAAGTTCATGATGGATGCATTAATTTATTGCGAAGTACCAATGAACTACGAGGTGACAAAATCGAGAGTACAAAATATGCAAACGTTGATTCGGGCATCAGATGTGAAGAATGTCCTAACAAAGGGACAATTGAATTTATGCAGACATGATTTGGGAAATTGTTCATAACCGGTGCCCTGAGAGGCAATGCGTAGACAACTGAAACTCCTTCAGAAATGTGTCGTCTTATACACGCGCACCCTTTTCATACCTAGGATCATCAACCATTGAAGATAATAGAACCATGTTTCAAGTGCCAGCATGTGCAGTCCAGAATGGAAAAATATTGTGTTACAACAATTTTTTCAGATTAGTTGATGCTTTTAAGAAATCTGATCAATCACGTATATTGGAACTTTTATTGGTTTTGAGATTCTCAAGGATAGTGATCCATAAGAACTAATAAGCTATATAGCAAGTGTTGCAAAACTTGGCTTTAATCATATAATTATTATTGGGAAGATTTACTTTTGAATAGTCTTTTTAGATTGTTATGGTCGTATTTTTGTGTGAGAAGATGAAGGTCAAATGTTGTTTCCACTTGGAAATTTCTCTGAAGAAGCATTAAAAAAATTTAATAGAAGGAGATGAATTGCATGGTTTGTGAAGAATAGAAATGTATATGAATATATTAAAAACCTTAACATAAATATGCAAATGTTATTATGGTAATATGTACATTTGATTGCTAGCATTTTTTATTTAATTTTTGTACTATTTCTTCTAGTTATATTTTCTGATACAATAAGAGGAAAGGAAAACAAAAAAGACAACTATCTAAAGGTGATAGTATCCTGTAGTCTAGTAAGTCTGTGATAACGGATTAAGCTATTTCAGGTAGTTTATATTAGGTAACAACCATCTGGAGGGTTGTCAGACCCTTAAATAAGGATCAGAGACCTATAAGGGTTCCTTTGAAGATAAATTTACTTTAGTAAATAAGTATTCCTACTAGTTAACCCTTCCGCCATTACACATTAATAGAAAAAAAATACTTTTATTTTATTTAATATAATCTTTAAAAAAACAACCTTATTTTTAAACTTAAATACTTAAACTTGTAAGAACTCTTATTAAATGTAATTTTTTTTATTTTTGTAGATTTTAATTTTTATTAATACAGAAATTTTATGACAAAAATTGAGTATTTTGGTTAAAATCAATAACCTTTTATTTTTAAGTAAAAGTTGTTTAGCAGATTTGATACTATTTACATCTAATATTTTTTTAAGATTAGTTTAATATTCTTATAGAAATAATTTTTTTGTAACTTTACTAAATTAGTCATACTTTTTTAACTTCACAAATTAATTTGATTATTTTAGTTAAAGTAAACTGTTTACTGCATATTAAGTAAAAATATTTTATATATTTAAAACTACATTTTTATTTTAATTGGCTTAATATTTATTGAGTATAGCTTTTAGTAACTGTATTAATTCTCAAATTTTTTTGTTTTTTTGAATATTTATTTGTATTGATATAAATGCATATTGCAAAATTACTATACTTTATAAAAAAAATAAAATTATTTAAATTGTTTTTTGAATTTTATTATATTTTTAAGATTATATAAAAAATAATTTATAGCATTATTAATAATGGTTAAAATTTTTATTTGCATAATTTTATAAAATTTTTAATGTTAGATATCAACTATGCATATTGCTATTATAAAAATTATCTGCATAGAATTTATATTAAAAAATTATTTGGTTACCTTACCTATATATATATATTTCTAAATTCTAATATAATAATGAAATCTATAATTTAATATTTAATTCTCTATCTCAAGATATTCTTAACGAATTAACTATAATTCATTTTAATTTTATTTATTTCTAACACTTCCTTTCTTTTCACTCTTTTATTTTACTTTTACTTTTTCTTTATTAGAATGGATTTGGCTTGGTTACTAATATACCAAAGTTCACTTATAATTTTCTTTTTATTAACTTTTCTATAGCATTTTCTTTCTCATCTTTGTAAGAATTTGCTACAAATTTTACTGCTATTTTAACAGCTCTAATTAGTTATTTATATGAACTAATTCTGCTTTTTTGAAATAATAGCAAACAATAATTTAAAAATTTAAATGATTAAAGTTAAAGCATATTCAAATGACTTTTTAATAATGAAATAGATGTCTTTACTAAAAATTGTTTGAATTTTACTGCTCTTCAATTAAACTCATTTATAACACTAAGAATTTTCTCATCTACAATAACTATTTTATTATAATTCTAATTCAAACAATTTATTGAAAACCTTTCTAAAGAGTAATCAGCATTAAATTTATTTTGTTTTGATGTTTTCTTTAAATATATTCTTCTTTACCATTCTAATTGGATAACTATAACATTTATTCTCAAAGATAACATCACTGCTAGATGCATATCTTATGTTATTTCTACTATTAAGTGAAAGAAATACCTTAGAATATTAAAGATGCTACCTATATTAGAAGTATTCAAATAAAGACTTTTGACTTTATATCAGACATCACTTCTTTGTCTAAGATATGATACCAATGATAAATATTTTTACCACATTTGGCTATGTCTAATGGTCTATTATAATATGGTAGATATTATATAACAATCAAAACAATTTTTAAAAATAATCACTAATTTATTTATATTTGAAATTGACCAATTTAAATGCTGAATTCTTTCAAGATACAATTATACTTCTTTTCTTACCCTGATTAAAAGCATCATCCTACAATATTTTATACATAAAAAATTGAACAACTTACATTTAGCCTATGTAGCACTTTTCTAATTCATGCACTTTGTGTTTTAATATACTCAAAATATATGGAATGAACATTATCAAATCCAATCCAACAAATATAGAGAAAGCTGATAACATAACTATTGATCAAAACTAGATCATATCACTTTCACTGGTTACAATTTATCTTTTACTAATATTAATTATTTACTCTAACCTGCTCCTATAGATACTATGGTCCGTCTTGGATCCCATTGGTCGAATTTTAGTGTTTAGTGGCCAAGCCCTCTTCTGTTTCCTCTCTTATTTTTTCTTGAAAGGTGACAGACTTAATTTAGGTTAGAATTTGATTTCGGGGAAGTGCAGGGTCGGTCTTCTATAGATTAGTCATAGATTAGTTTGTACGAGATTTTCGTGATATGTATTTTATTTTATATAGGATTTTTTATATCTCTTTGTGGAACTACCGCACTTTAAAAAAAAATAAAAAAAAAAAAATAAATGAAATATGATTGGTTGGCAATGTCCCGATTTGATAACATAAATTAATTATTTATGTGCAATTACTTAACGATGCAATTTATATTTTTTTTTTTGTTTTTACTAAAGAAATACTTTTTTAAGATCGAAAAGGCAGAATATCATTTACAAATCGTAAATCTTGCATTTAATGCTATTATAAGAAAAGTTAAAAAATCTTGTTTTACATCAAAAATCAAAATAGGAATAAATTGGGACTTTTACACTTTTAATTGATTCGTCACGTTTGAATTTTGATTTTTTATTTCGTAAAAGTTTTACTAAAAAAAAAAAAAAAAAAATTGTAGCATGTTGCAATGATGAATTTCACTACAATAATATATATATCTATTTGTTTATTAAATAATCTCTATTGATTGAAAAATCTAATCGAATCATCTAAATTATTATAAAATTAATTGAAATTAATAAAAAAAAAGACAAAATTTCTATTTAAGAAGTTGATTAGCAATCTCGTCGGCTAAAGCTTTATGAACAACCCTGGTGGGATGTACATCATCAAACCAGAAATATTCATCACATTTTTGAGTGGAAAAGAAGGGCATAGTTTCGCAAGCATCAACGATATTAGTTATACCTAATGAACGCTGTCCTTCAATAGTCATGTCTCGATCGAATATTTCGTAAGAATTAATAAAATATATTTGTATATCATGTTCTTTTGATAAGTTGGTAACCATAGTGGAAAGTAATTCATTGTGTCGGAGTATGGTTGTATTTATTAGTTCCTTGATTTCATCTGATTTTGAATTAAATCTAGGGGATTTTCTCGCATCAACCATGTTCATTATCAAAAAATAACGCGCTCCCACGGTTGTAATTAACCTTTGTATCGAGATGGATAATGAATTCACTACTATTGCGGGGTTTAAATTAAAATCTAGAGAGAGATAATCATTTCCGGCTGACCAAAGCTAAAGAAAGATTTATCAAATTATTTTTTTGTTCTTTTTTTTTTTTTGTTTTGTAAAAAAAAATAATAATAATAATAATAATCACTTACAGAGAACAAAGAATTAGTATAATCGTTATTTTTATTGGCACTAGCGAGAAACGAGTCAACCTGCTGTTTAATTCCTGGTATAATCATAGTAAAGTCGAAAGATATTATTTGACTAGGTGCAATCAAATCAGAACTAGGAAAAAAAAAAAAAGAATTAATTTTAATAAAAACAAAAATATAATAAATAATAAAAATTACTTACTCAATACCCGCACCACCAAAGGCAAAATTTTCCATGGTTGCATTTATTGATAAGGTAAACCAATCACACCATATTAAACCATCCGAAAATCGTCCGTCAAAATAACGGCCGCTTGGAAATAATCCATCTGATGCTTTAAAATAATTCTTTACGTCTTTATTTTTTTTTTTTTAAAAAAAGAGAAATAAAAATATAAATATTGTTCCGTAACATTCGATTCAATTTAAAATGATCTTTATTTACCCGAAATCGAATCTCCAAATACGACAAATTTATCAAATGAAGTCTTATTAACTGGTGCACCTCTGGTAAGGGTAAGAGATACGAGAAGAGTTGCTAAGAAAGCACTAATCAAATTCGTTTGTTTCATCGTTTTAATTTTTTATATGTTTGGTTTTTTTTTTTAAAAAAAAGAAAGTGAGGATGAAGTGAATATATATATACTGTTATGGTTACTACAACCTTCCTGATTCAATCAAGCCGCGTATTACATTCTATTCTCATTTTTTCAATCTGTTTATAGCAAATAGCGTGCATTTTACTTTATTTCATTATTTTATTCAAATAACTTTTGTTTATATTATAATGATATGCATGCTACCAAATTAGTCAAGCCGCAGTCGTACTCATGTTTCTTAAAGTTATTTTTATCCAATAACTAACTATCTATGGCAGAGATGGCATTGCGGCCAAAGCTAATTTTTTGGCCATTGGCCGATTTGGTCAATTGGCTAGATTATTGGCCAAAATCGGCGGTCAAATTCAATTGGCATTTGGCTATGTGGCCAAACGGCCAAATATAACATGATTTTTCCAAGGCATTTTGGCAAAAAAATTGACGCCTCCGACGGGACGTTCAATTTATTGCAAAAATGCAAAAAATAGACGCCATCGATTTCGGGACGTTCAATTAATTGCGAAAAATTGACGCCCCCGACTTCGGAACGTTCAATTAATTGCAAAAATGCAAAAAAAAAAAAAATTGACGCCCCCGACTTCGGGACGTCTCAATTTATTGCGTTTTCGCAAAAATTGACGCTTCCGACTTCGGGACTTTCAATTTATTGCGTTTTTGCAAAAAATTGACGCCCCCAACTTCGGGACGTTCAATCTATTGCATTTTTGCAAAATTTGACGCACCCGACTTCGGGACGTACATTTTTGGTAAATTGACTCCTAATAAATCATTTTCTTTTTTTTTAAATAACCGAGAAAAAAAATTTTTATATCAATCAATTTAGTTCATATACTTAACAATGAAACGAAGTGAGAAAGACATGGGCGGCAGTCAATAGAAAAAGGGGAAATCTAAATTTTTTTTTATTGGTCCAATCATGTGCTCAAAATTAATGAAAATTTCAGATTTCCCCTTTTACCCATATGTCCTTGTTCTCTCACCGAATTAATTTAAAATTCTCTTGATACCGTAATCGATCAGGTTATACCTTTTCTTCAGATAACAAAATTTCATTCGGTTGGATGTCGCTGCATAAAAATTTATATCCTTAGAAAATTATCAAATTCAATTGTGGATTTCGATCAAATAAGTTTTTTTTACGAGAAAAATTCTATGGACAGTTGGGATCATGTATTAAACCTTATCCAATGATGTGAACGATGACGTCATATTTGTTTTTGTTAAAAAAAAAAAAAAAAAAAGATTTCGGGACAATGAATTTACAAAATTCTTTTTTACTTTCAATAATTTATTTAAATTTTCATTTTTTTTTTTTTAATATGTTAAAAAAAAGTATTAAACCTTACTACATTCATTATTATAATCATAGAGAAGATCCAAATATTCCTTTCCCAAATATTGTTTATCCGAACCCACCACCACCGCCATTAATTAATAAATATTGTGATTGCGGAATCATGAGTATCAGGAAGCAAGTGAAATCAGGAAAGAATCGGGGGAAATTATTTTATAGTTGTAGTAAATTTGGAACTTCGATGCACGATGAAAGATGTGATTTTTTTAGTTGGGAAGAACCAAGGATCGTAAATACACCTCTTAAATTCTCAAGGCAAGGAAGAACTTGTAATGAATTCTTTTACAGAAATGAAGAAGTAAACGTAACCCCCACTAAGCCATCACATGCATCACCAGTGAAAACGATTTCTCAATTATATAATTCTAGCAAGTATAATAGAAATAACAAACCCAAATATACTTGTGAATTAAATACGTCAACAATATTTGTGGATAAAAAAACTGATCGGATCCCACGGGAGGTATTACAAGATTCTGTAGACAATAATCAAGATATTCGGAGTTATCTCAAGAAGTTGGAAATGGAGCTTGATTATACCAAAAGAGAATTGAACAGGACAAAAGTAGAGTGCAATAACCTAGAGATCTCAAATGTAGGGTTAAAGAGGAAGTTACAAGATGAAAAGGAGAGAAACGAATCTTTGGTCAAATCAAACAAAAGAATAAGAAAAGATTTAAATGATAAAAACAAAAAGATCTTGAGAATGATGCAACGGGATGCATATAAATGAACACTTTTTCTTGATATTGAAGGATGGATTATAATTAGAATTGTTTGTGAATGTCGATCTCCCTTTTATTTTCTAAGATGGGAATAAAATTGATGCAAATATTATTGCATTCTAATTGTCTTCATTTCTTGGCATGATAGGCCTTGTTCGGAGTTAGTTTGTTGAACACACACCTTCTAAGGGGGTAAAATAAGATAAAAAAAAAAAAAACCGCACCGTAGAAAATCTGTTGTACGATCAATCATACCAAACTCATCTCAGAATCCGGTAAAGGGGAACTTACAAATTGGGATCTGGGGATAGCTCATCATTTTTTAAGCAGGAAAAAAAAAAAAAAAAGGTTAGAACCTTTAGATCGCCATGATGACCTTTAAATTTTTTTTTTCATGTAAACTTTGAATAGATGACTCAATGTATTGTAAACATTACCCTTGAGTTGTTTCAGTTTAATTTTGTTGAATAACATAAATGCATGAGTGTTTCAACAAATTAATGAAATGAATGTAACTTATTAAAATCTATAATTTTATATAAATAATGTCTTTTAAAAGAAAATATGTTGGTATCAGCCACTTGTCTCAAGGACCATTGGTCAATCGTTAAAAAGGATTAAACATTAACCGGCTTCAGCCAAACCTTGTCGATTGATTTTCTTCTATATAGAATCTACCCCTTGTTCCAACTGAGCTATAAATATCAACTAACCTAGGAAAAAAACAGCAAATGAGAGAAATACTATATGAATCAATTTTGTTTAAAATCCGAGGATTGATTCGGAGATGGACCGAAAAGGATTTAATGGATTATAAAATCTGATTATTATGCAGGGTATGATCATGCGATTTACTTAATTTAATTAGTAAATTTATATTTTTTTTAAAAAAAACAAGAAAATGAAGTAAAATTCCAATTCGCATTAAACAGATAAAGAAAGAATGGGTTACAAATGTCCTTGACTCGTATATCCAGAAAAGTTTTTTTTTTTTTTTTTATAAATAGGTTATCAATTCCTTGTTTGCTTCTTTTACATAATAAAACAAGATAATATCTACCTTTTTACTATTTAAAACTTTTTTTTTTTTTTTCATATTCAACCCAAATTCCTTAGCAATTGTTTGAAAATTTATGATGTGTAACCATTGATTGTTTCTAATTTTTTTCACATTATTTCTTGAACGCTTGAAGTCAATTGTATGGACATGGAACAACTCACGCTGTTTAAAAACCTTAATAAAGAATTTTCCATTGGAGAATTCTATTTTTATATTTTTTATATTTGTACATCAAATTTTTTTATAAAATAAACAAACAATAAGTTCGTTATTGATCGATGATGACCAACAACGGGAAAATGTTATGCAACAGGTTGATGACTTTAATTACTTTAGTTTACAAGTGTTTGTTTTATTGGATTAAATAAATTAATGGCAGGAGAACTAATTTAATACGTTTGGTTTCTTAACCAAATAGAAAATGTAACCTCGGGTTTTATAACCGAATGTTACTTTATAATTTCAAGCCTTTCTTCGTCATTTAAAAAGGGTCGTTTCCCCCTCACACCTTTTCTTTTTCAATCAAAAAAAGTTACTTGTAAATCAATCATCCTTTTTTTTTTATATATATACACAAACAATCAACCTTTTCCAAGGAAAATAAAAGAAAAAAAATGAAATCCTTAACCATCTTAGCATTTATTCTCTTATCAATTATTGCTGTTTCATCAGCCTTACCATCACATAATGATCAACTTGAAAAACGAACCAACCCTTGTCTTCATAAGAGGAACGTGTTGGGTAAAAGGACGGAAGAAAGAAGGTGTCCTTGCGCTCTTGCAGAATCAATATTTGATGGCACATCGGGTCCAGTTAAAGGTCTCATGGTTTACGCTCAAGATGAGTGTGGCAGCACTACTATCACAGGTCTTTTCAGTTCAGGTTTCGAAGACACAACCAAAAATTATACCTTTAGCATCGTTGATTTTTGCGGTAAAGTCATCCGTGACCTCACGGATGATTTGAACATAGAATTCTCTGAGGGAGGTAGCAAAGCTTTCAAAAGCAAGGTTGATTTCAACCTTAACTGTGACAAGGAAGGTATCCTATTCACGAAGAACAGCAAACCAGGATTAAACAAACGTACTTGCAATGCATTTTCCAAACGTCAAGCTGACCCAAATAACTCAACTGACTTTGGCGCTTTTATGCGTATCAATGAAAATGCTGACAACTATGCTCAGGCGAATATTTTTGAAATCTAAAAACTTTTAAAAATCATCATTTTTTTTTTTATTTCATTTTATTATATATTTCATAGATAGTTTAATATATACATACATAATATATGAAATCTTGTTTTTTTTCTTTTACATAATTTTTGTCTCCTACGATAGACATTTTCTTTTAAAAAAACTTTACATATAAATATTTTGATCAATAGGAAAAAAAAAAAAAAAAAAAAAAAAATCTTTTCAAAGTGAATAAGGTTAAAATATTTTTTTCTCATTTCCAAAGGTATGGAAGCTTAGTTGTAGTTTTGATTGATAAGCGTAGTTATTTATCAAATCATTCTCTTTTACAAAGACTTATAATAAAAAATTTAAAAAACCAAAAAAAAAAAAAATAAAATAAAAATAAAAATAAAAATAAAAAATGACATCTTTGGCAAATTTAATTATCCTTGACAATTTAATCATGATCAACTGAACAATCATTACGATAAGGGATTTTTGAATAAAAGAACAAACAAAAGAAATTGTCCTTGTAATAGTTTTCGTGACACGTCAGGTACAGTTAAAAAGATTCGTTGTCCAAACTCAAAGATGAACGTTATCACATGTTTTTTTCGGATCGGGTTTCGAAGGTACTAGCAAGAATTACTCTTTTTTAAAATCGTCAATATGTCATCCGTGACCATACACATGATTTGAACGTCTCCTTTACACACCTTGCCTTACCAGTTTACAGATCTATACCTCATGACTTGAATTTACTCCATATAGTAAAACGCCAATTCGAAGGATGGTGGCGAAGATGGTGCATTTTTTTTTTTTTTGAATCAATCTTGTTAATTTTGCATTAATTAAAAAATTAATAATCGTTTTTTGTTTTGTTTCAAGATTAATTAGTTCATTTTTTTTATTTCAAGAGAGACATTTCGGATAAATTTTATCTGATTCGGGTATTCACATTGGTATTCTTAAATTAATAAAATTGATGTGTTTGCTACGCCACGGCACAGTATTACTTGATCATGTGATTTGTAATTTTTTAAATAATCATTACAATTTACTGATCATTTAGTGAAACCCATTTGAGAACATGTAAAGAACTATTAAATACATCGTATCATGTTTAAAGTAAATATATTATTTTATATTATAAAGAAGCAATAAAAATCAATTTACAAAATAATTCTATTACAACATTTCTTCTGTTACTGAATATTAGTTTATACACTATTAAAAAATTTTCCTAAATAATAATTAAATAATTCAAAAAATAACGCCTTTCCATTCACCAAGTAATTTTGGATGATAAGGCCTTCTTCTAGTTGAAACAGTTCTTGTTCGACATAATGTTCGTCCATTCTATTATTACATCTATTTCCCTTTCTTTATTCATCAAACGCTTTTCATTCTCAACCTAAAAAAAAAATGAAATAACAATAAATCAACAACTTTATTGTAAATAATTCATTTTGAAATTTTTTTTTATCCATACCTATAAGTCATTGTTAAATCACCAGATGCTTTCCATATTTGAGATTTAATAGTAGCCAATGTCATGGTAGGAGGCAAAATCTATTTTAAGACAAAACAGAAAAGGTATTAAGATATTTTCTTTTTTAAAATAAATACATTTATCTCTTAATGTGAAAATTACCTGATCTTGACAAACTAATTCTAACCATAATTCAGGTTTCATGGCATTCTTTCTTTCTTCTTCAGCAGCGGCTGTACTTTGTGAATTATTACCGGTGGTATTATCATGTTCATTACCTTCATCAGTATTTTTTTCAGCATCACCCAACGCTTTTTCTAGACACTCTGTAGAAGGTTGTGTAGCAGTCATGCTACCACCACCATTATCTTTAGCATTAGTAGGTTCGGTAACCGAATTTCCATTGATATTAACAGCGCCATTATTAGTGGTGTTATTGCTTGTTGTTAAAGGAATCGATGGCTGATCTAATTCTAATTTTTCTACTATATAAGCTAATATTTTCCTTACTCTTAACATTCTATTTGCGGTTAACCTTGCGTTTCCATTCGGTAATTCATCTAATTCAGAACCTTCATGTGGTTTTAATATGAAACTGACCTTTACAGGTTCTTTGGCGGGAATCTTATTCTGTGAAAATAATAACAAAAATGAGCAACAATTCACCAAAAGTTTTATAACCCCTCTTAGCCAACTTACCTTAATTAGAAATTCAATTAACCAAGTTGGAGCCTTTTGTTCAATAATTTCGGCATCCCTTTCCATATCACCAAGAGTACCTCTATATAAGTCAACATTAGTAGAAGCTTCGTGGCTTTCTTCGCTTATTATTACGGTGGTATGTTGTGGTATTTGTATTTCCGGCGTTTCATTATGTGGATGTTGATTAAATGGTGGTTGTATTAACGGATGCATCTGTCTTATTTGATAATGATGATGATGATGATAATGATGTGGATGATGATATAAAGTTGGTGTGGGTATTGTTGTTGATGATGATAAACTTGTTGGGGAATTGATCGAAGCATCATCATCCGTTCGTTGTTGAGTAGTATTTTCTTCTTGTGATTGTTGTTTAGCCTCATTATTAGCGGTGGGGGTGGTGGTGGTAGAAGTGGTCGCGTTAACATTATTGTTGGTGTTAGTATTAGTATTACTAGTACTTCCACCATTGCTACTTCCATTATTATTTCCTTCTGGTTTGTTATTACTATCATTTCTAGTAATTTTACTACCCCTAAAAGTATGCTTAACTCTATTCATAAAGCTAACGGTAGCCCCACTATTACTAGTATTCTGATTAACAAGTGCGGGCGGTGGTGGTTGTATGGTAGTAGTAACAACGACATTACTATTAGTAGAGGCAGGAGTACCAGTATTTACATTACTACTATTATTACCATTATTATTTCCATCTGTAGTTGTGGTACTCGAATTACCAGGCGGGGTTGTCGGAGATGTGGCAGAAGAATTCAAGTGATGTGGTCCACTAAAATAATCTGGTTGTTGTGAACTAGTTGTCGCGGGAGCCGTAAATGGACCTGTTGTAAACGCTGCTAATGGTGTTGTTGGTGATTGTGGCATTGGTGGGTTCGCGTTACTATTGGCAAGATTGTGACTTGATGCGGTTGGTGATGTACATGTTGTTGATGTAGCCGCTTGTGGTGGTATATTTACATTTATTTGGGTGGAAAATAAGCTAATATGTTTTTGGTATTAAAAATAAGGATTAATAAAAGTAATAATATTATTCTTCCCACTTGTACTCCTTTCTACCTTCTATGTTCACTTCCAGGTTGCTGCCGTTGTTGCTGCATCAATGATCTTTGTTGTTGTATAGCTTCATATGTTTGTATTTCTGCTTGGGTAAAATTTGCAAATAAATATCTTAATACCCATTTACCTAAATTAACTATTACAATTATAAAGGAGGAAAGAGAATTAGTCAAAAAAAAAAAAGTAATCATGATGGGCAACGGTGATAGAAATCATCAAGAATTATTACTTCGCTGATCTTCTCTTATATCTACATCTCCAGTTAATCCTGCCTCGTCAGCATACATTTCTGCATCAAAACATTTACTCTCATCTAAATGTACTGTCAATGCCTATAATAAAAAATGATGGTAATTAATACTTTGAGAGAAACTCCCTCCCAAATTTAATATTACACTCCAGAGTTAATTACTTACACCGATTCTTGTATCAACGGAACACCAATTTGGTATAGATTCGGGTGTATTGATTTCCTGGGCAATTTCATCAATGTTACATTTACCAAATACTTTGACCTTAACACATTTTATAATATCCCAAAGTGTAACTTCCCCATTATGGTCTAAGGTAAGTATATTTCTACGATTATTCAATATAACATATTTAATTAATCCATGTTGTCCCTCTATTATGTGATCTGCTATCTCACGAACTGGTTCCGGATCTTCGTTATCTATATCACTATGACCGTCACCTATTGCTACGCTATATATAGTCGCTACCTCACTATCTGTCGTGGCTGTTTTTAATTGCGGTGAAGATACCACTGAAGGATAGGATGACGTTACAGCTGTTGAAGTTAATTTTATTAAGGACGATGATGGGATTTGAAATGCATTTTGGGAAGTAGATGATGTTGGCGAAGAAGTTGACAATTTTATTCGATCTTTCCTCAATGGTATATCTTGCTATTGAAAATCCAAGATCGAATAAAATATTTAATTTATATATTTAATTTGAACTTTATAAGACGAGAATTGAACGAAATTAAACTCACCCATCGTTTAATGCTTGAACTACAAGTAGCAGTCCATATATACTTATTATCCAAAGCCACAAGCTAAATTAAAAGGAAATAAAAAGGGAACCCAAAAGTTAAGTACAATCCCTCACTCAACTCACATGACCTTTCGTTAACTTACTTTGACGATTCCAGCATTTTCTTTACAAATGGCGACACATTCACCATCATCAATTTCTTCGTATTCGCTATAGTCTGTACGAGTAACTAATCCGTCTTTAGCTCCCGCATAAAATACTTTTAATCTGGGATGATCAGAATACAAAGACCATATTGAATCTGAATGCGTTGTAAATGTATTAATGCACCTCTGCGCTGACAATGACCATAATTTTATCGTTGTATCTGACGATCCGCTTAATATTAATTCTCCATCATCACTTATTAATATTGCTCGAATGTTATCTGTATGTCCTGATAATTTCGTAATTCTTTTACCAGATTTCGGATCCCATACCTTTATAACCTGAGCCAGAGGGATCAGATTTAAAAAGAACAAATTGATTAAAGATAATAGATAAGTAAAAAAAGATTATTTACAATTTATAAAGAATCTTTACCTTTTCAGGTGATCCAGATACAAGAACGGATCCTGATGGGTTACATGCAAGTGCATATACTGATGATTTAGGTGAAGTTTCAGCTATTGTAACTAAATAAAAAAAAAATTCCGAACAAAATTTTAAAACATTGAATTTCAAATAACGGTTGCTTCAACTCCTGTTATCACCGTTTACCATACCTATAGGTTGAAAATCTCTTTCAGACAATCCTCCAAAAATATTACCGCTTGAACTCGATGTTGACGGTGCAAGCCTACATTCTTTAATATCCCATAAAGCAATTTTTCTATCAAACCCTCCACTTGCCACCCATCCTGGTCCTGATGCATATGCTAATGCCTTTATATAATCTGTATGATATCCTATCGTACATGGTGTTGATGTTTTATGTGGAAACCACAATTTCATAGTTCGATCTGACGAACACGATATCACTAAATATAATAAAAGAATGTAAGAATTAAAAGTTATTTTTTATTTAAAATAAAAAGGTTTTTAAAGAGAATAAATGTCTAAGCAGATTTTAATCATATTTACATGCTTCTTTGTTGTGACATAGTATTATGTCATTCACCCAATCCGTATGACTTTGAAATGATTGCCGAAACGTTGATTTTGGCGTTGGTTGCTATAAAAGATATAAAAGAAGAAAAAATATTCTTTTAATAAGTTCCTTTAAAGGAACCACCTTCCCTTTTGAAATCACTCACTGAACTTGAAGCATCTTCATCAATTTCCCAGTTCTTATCTTCATTAAATAGATGTAAAGGTATATTATCATCATCTTTAACATTTCTTTTTTTTTCATCGATGTCGTTCAAATGATTATAATTATATTTTGGTATCGTTCGTCCTCTTAAAGGTAAATGTAAATCCCATGAATTAATTACACCATCTCTTCCTGCACTATATAAAATTCCTTCCGGTTTATCAGAGGAGCCAAAAGTGGTGGTGTCTAATGCTAAACTGTTTATGCCTAATAAATGACCGTGATCATCTTTATTATGTGTTATCACGTAGCTTACTTTACGTTTTGCTGTTTTTCTCATACTTATTTAATCAAAATTAATTATATTTGTCGGACTTAAACTTATTTTGATGAAATAATTATTTATAAACAAACATTGATAAATTTTTGATTCACTGATTTAAACCTTTATTAAATTCTGAATAATTTATAAGCTTTTCAATCAAGTATATATAGAATGAAAAGGTATTGAATTTTGTCGACCAATTGAATAAAAAAAAAAATAAATTTCAAGCTTCTTTATATAAAATGGGAGGTCATAAGAATTTTCGAAGATCAAAGTTTATAACAAAAAAAAATATTTTTTGGAATATTTATGTTTAATTTATCGTAACACCAACTTTCGTTAGCTCGCTACTAAAAAAAAAAAAATTTTACCACATGTGATCGGGATCACATGATTAACTCTCCGAAAAAGTGTAAAGTGATAATCGGCGAAACTGATTTTAAAAAAGCGTTGCTTGTTATTATTTTTGATTTGTGAACCATTGAATAGCTGTATTTTAATTTTTATTCTCCGCCATGTTTGATATAACACAATTGTTGAATAGCCAAAGTTCGAAATTAAAATGCGTTTACCGATCCTTTCTCTAAATGGTAAAAGAACTTAATTATAAAAGATATTTATATTCCGTTATGGTTTTTATGTGTAAACTTTTATACCTTCATTTTTAGATTCCTTTCGCGTCCAAAATAAAGAAAATCATATATTTTCATTATTAGCGAATTTTGTCCTTTCTCCAAGTGGTATAAAATATAACAAAGTTATTTATTTGAAAAATCACGTGTCCTCGACTAAATTTTAAAGACGCATTAACGCGATTATCTTTTATTTGCTGAAATAATATAATTAATTAGTCCGGAGAATTATATTCTTCACTATCGTTCTAACGAAGCCATTATGTTCCCATGGACCAATCACGTATCAACTCGGTTTTTGAGCGGGCGAACATTTAGGTTCGTTGCTGTTGATTAATTGACCACGTGATGGGACAATCCGGTACAATCTGATTCGACCGAGATCGGTCATATGATCGGATCGCGATCCAAACCGTCTCGTTAACATCCCTAGATAAAATTGGTTGTTTATTGCTCGTTCTTTTCTTTTAAAAAACAATTTTGGGCTTTTCGTATTTTTTAAAAAGCTTTTGTTACAATTTCATTTTCTTTCTTTTAACCCTTTTTAACGACTTTAAGCGTAAGTTCTAATAAAGTCACGTTCTTTAAGTAAAAAAATAAATAAATAAATAAAAAAAAAAGACTTATACATTATCAATTTTTTCTAGGTAAATAAATAATGATGAACCGGAGAGGAGGCAAAAACTCCTTAAGTTCGTTGACTATGTCTAGTTCACGATCAAGTTCCACGTGTTCCACGAGTTCCACACGTTCAAATACAAGTATAAGAAACTTTTCAGAACAATATAGAGATGTTACACCTTCTTTCAGCACGACAACGGCAGATTCATCATCAGATGACGAGATTGCGAAAGAAGATGACTCTTTCAGTCCTTATCTAAAAAAAGAATCGTCCCCAGTGTCTCAATTTCCATCAGTATATCAACCACCACCTTTGGTAGTTGTGCCTCAGCGGTCACAACCTCAAGTATCGACGGAACATCCAGCTTCGGATAATCCGCCTGAACATTTTAATAATCAATTTCGTAGAGGAAAAAGACGTCAATTCTGGACTCCTGTGGAATTAAAAGCGCTGGAGATCGGTATGAATGAATTTGGCACTCAATGGGCCAAAATCCTGAGACTGTACGGTGGAACTCATGGTCCTTTAAGAAATCGAAATTCTGTTCAATTAAAAGATAAGGCGAGAAATGAGAAGAAAAGAAGAATCAAGTATAACCTTGAATTGGGTATATTTCACATTGCAAGTGGTGGCGAGGATATTTCGGATTATGAATTAGAGTATGATGATTAAATCTTTGTATTTTTTATAAATGCCGTCAACCTCTCCAACTTTATATTATTCAAAAGAAACCCTTCTTTCATTTTTTTTTTTTTTTAATTTTTTTTTTTTTTTTTTATTCAAAAATTAAAAAATGACAAGGCGGGAAACTTTTTTTTTTTTTTTTTTTTTTTTTTTTTGTTGTATAGGATAGTTTGCATTAGAATTTTGAAAGAACTTTGCTTAGATGTTAGCGTAGACATTTAAAATATACACGTTTCTTTTGAATCGATCACGTTTGAATTCGCCATTCCTTTTCTCATATCAAAATATATATTATTATATAATAAATTCGAATTATGTTTCGAAAATTTATAAATTATCTAAAACTTACCGATTTGATCACGTGATTACTCTTAGAATCACATTGATTCTATGTGACAAGTAATATGTGTAGAATATCTATATATAGGAATGCGGCACATAGAAACATTTTCTCCTTAGTGTCAAATTACTTATTGAGTAAAATCAACATATGTAACATATGTATATGTACAAGTACAAAGATGTAACGCGTCAAATTTTTTTTTTTTTTAAATACTTTCCCTCCTTTTTTTTCGCGACCTAATTTTGAAAAAAAGAAAAAAAAAAAAAAAAATTAAAACATGGATCTCGATAAACAACCTGAACTTTCTGAAAGTTTGTTAGAGGAAATGGACCTTGGTATGTTTTATTTTTTAAATTTATCATTTTTTTTGAATTAATACGTACGATAAAAGGATGGGGACGCGTCAAAATAGGTTATGGTTATATATTTATGACCGATAGTTTTATTTTTAACCTGAACACGCTTATACAAGAAAATTACTATTCTACAAAACTATACTCTAACAAAGAAAGTTCATTATTTCTTGTCGTGATTCTAATCTATAGATACAGACACAGTCATAGATCAAGTTGACAAGGTTTGATTACTTTTAAAACTTTTACCCTATTGTAATCTCTAGTTCCTTTCAACAAAATTAAAGAACCTATTTTTTCTTTTTGGATTTAGCCATCGAAAAGTTCGAGTGGTGTTGATAACAATGGTTACGCCTCGTCATCATCTTCAACTGTACCTAAGCGTAAGCAACCTCCTAAAAATTCAAAGGTAAAAGACACAAAAAATACAAAGGACAAGGTTATCAAAAAATCGGAAACTGGTATGTATACTGTTATATATTATATTAATCTAATTTCATCAGATATCAATTGTTAATTCAATTTTCAAACTTTAGTTAAAAAGACGAAGTTGATTTATGAATATAAGGATGGTGAAGTGGAAGAAAGTGAAACTTTTGAATTGATCGGTGAAGATCCTGTTATTAATCAAGGGGCTAGTGATGGTTTCGAAGCCGATAAAACCTCTCTCCCTTGTCGTACACTTGATGAGTTCACTATTTATGATGTTAACTACCAAAATAGAGCGGTTAGTATCGAAGAGTTAGATGAAGAAGGTCGTGAACTTCATGTTTCTGGGATTGTTAAACCAATATATGTTGGTCAAGACGAAGAATATCTTGATGATGATGAGTATGACGATGAAGATGGTCCTATACGAATCCCTGATCAGTATTTTAGAACTAGTACTATTTTCTATTTTCAAATTGAATACTTGCAAGATGGCCAAAGGTTTGTGTCATGAATTCTAAAATTGTGTTTTTTTTTTTTTTTTTATTAAAAAATGATTTCCAACATCAGTTTGCGTCTTTTTTCTTTTTTTCTAATAGTGAAATTTGGATTCGCACTCAATATGCGTTTTATAAATTACTTAAAGCTTCCGAAGCTTATGTACCATATTTCATGCCAGTATTCAGAAAAATTCGTACAGCAAATGTTATAATTGAAGCTATCGCTAGTAATCCAGAAATTACTTATGAACAATTCCTCGATTTACTAAAGAATTCATCATCATTCCTAAGCAACTCTACAACGGTGGAGATATCAGAGAAAGATATTTTGAAAAATATTGATTACATTTATGAAGAATTGGAAACTTGGATTGATGAAAAAGAAGCGTTTGGAGCTCTTTCATGTCCTCTCCTAACAAGTTTACAAAAGTTAATGAAGAAGAAGAGTAAAAGATCCAAACACGTTCATTATGGTGACACAGATACTGTCAAGACCAAACGTAATGTGTCAATCAAGAGTTCCAAGAATAATCCTAATTTGGCTGTATTACGACATCAAAATCCAACTTGTGTCACTCCTTTCATTAATAATTTGACTAAAGGAATGTTTGCTAATAAATTTATCACTGTGAAACACGATATTGAATCAGAGGATGACAAAGAGCCCCTTTTGAAGATCGAAGCACCTGTAATTACGAAACCCGTGACTCATAAAGTATTATGGAATGAAAAGCAAATTGCTAAAAGTGATGGCATTTCGTATTATAATTCTGCTATAGTTGACGGAGAAATAATTGAAGTGGGAGATGTTGTTTATGTTCGAAATGATGATTCTGATGAACCTTGGTTTGCAAAGGTTATGTATATGTTCGAGGATTCGTCAAACAAAAAAATGTTCCACTCTAGATTCTTCAATCACGGCAAAGCAACCATTTTAGAAGAATTTGCCGGTGATAGAGAGCTTTTCTTATTGGATAATTGTACTGATAATGATCTTGACACTGTCATGGGAAAGGCTAAAGTAAAGCGTCTTGATATTGATGAAGACGAGTCTTTTGACTTTGAGGATGAACATTTCTATTTTTATCGGTTAGTACAAAATGAATTTATGCAATTTACAAATTCATGTCTTCTAATGAATTTAAGTTTTTAGGTTCTGGTATGACGAAAAATATGCAGCATTCGAAGAAGCTCGATTTCATGAGGAACCAAAGGTTGTTTTCAATTATTGTACAGAGTATGAACAATGTCACTCTTGTGAGAATTTTATGACCGCTGAACAAAAGGGAAAGCCAAAATGGATCTACGGAGATTCACAAGATACCTTGTTAGGTTTTACGTACAAAGGAGTTGACTATCACCTTCACGATTTTGTGTATCTTATCCTGGATGAAGGAAATGATAGCTCTTATACCACATATGAAATCGGTCAAATTGTTGAACTCTTGAATA